TTCTGAAATCGAAGAAATAGTTTGCGATAATGACAGCTGTTTGCATAGCTTCTCAGTTAACTACGGCTCTGTGAAGTAAATGCTGCTCCATCTGAAAGCATGTGAAAATACCACATTTAATAACATATTTTTACTCCAAATTCACTTCATAACGTCAGTCGAGTGTTTGAAATAAATCCTTCTGTGAGATGATGTGGCTTCTAGGGATATGCCGGTATCAAATTTTCATGTTGCAATTACTTGCTAATGCTTTTATCACGGTATGCGGTATTATCATCACGATGTTGAAATTTAGTTTTAAAAAGTGCTGTCATAATACAGTATAACAGGTTTAATAACTTTTTTCTTATAACAAAAATAACTGAACATTTAAATGCAATAAAGCAATACAGAAAAATGTATAAAGTTAAAAGTTTTACACAGATTAAAGTGCAAAAGAACTATAAAGACCAATAGGTATCACTTTACAATAAGACCTCATTAGTTAACCTTAGTTAATGCATTAACATTCACAATGAGCAATAGCTACATTTGCTACAGAAGTTATTAATCTTTGTTAAAACAATACAAGTCTTTGTTCATGTTAGCTCATTAAATAACACGGCTGCAACTGTTAAATGATTAAATATTGGAATACCTAAGATTAATGAATGTTCAGAAGAATTTTTCATTGGCAGTTTGTTAACTAATGAATTAACTAATGTTAACTAATGAAGCCCTAATGTAAAGTGTGACCGAACAATAAAGAATCAAAACACTTTCAAACAATAGGACATGTTGTAGTCCAGAGTAAAACGTAAAAAAGTTTGAAAATAAATAGCCTATTAAGTCTAAATATTTAAGTATTTGGCGCTGTGATGAACACCATAGCGAGTACAAAAATCTGAATGGCTGTTTAAACCATTTAAACATTTCAGAAACGGAAAGTAGCACAGCTGCTTTGTTTATGGGGTTTCCGGGGCAAATAAACATTTGCTGCCAGAGAGTGAAAGTGTGCTTTCATCCAGAGTGTCTCTCATGTGCTCCGTCATGCGCTTTTCATCCGTGCTTGTTTACATCAGAGTGCGCATGCAGCGGTGTTGTGCATTTTAACCAGTTGATGGGAAAAGTATTCTTAAAATGCATTCAAAATTCGGAATAATTTGTAATAAATAATTATTCTCAGTATTTTGAAGTGCCCACGATAAAAATATTGTGCATATTCATTATTGTGATATAATCGCATTACCGAATACCGGCACATGTCTAATCAAGACAGAGGGAATGTGGAAAACCTACTGTGTCGGTGCACTGATAAGCAATGAATTTTCGCATCAAGGCAATGGCAGTTGCTCTCTCCTCTCCAATCTACAGAGAAACAGAAGAATTAAACCCTGCACATACAGTAGCCTCATCACAACACCCATAGGCCACATGTTAGATAGTACTAACCTTACACTTAACGGTCCACAAATTAGGATCCCTGCAAGAGACAAATCTCTTAACACAAGCCCAGTGGTCTTTTCAGAAATACTTAATTTAGTATGTTTAATCAGCAATAAATTGTTCTTTTTTTTTCATACTTGACCCCAGGAAGCAACTGTTGCTGGGTGATGTCATCAGAAAGATCCTCAGAGCCGCCATAGAAACTGAAGTAAACAGCAGAACAGGAATATTTAGAGAAGTTAATGCAGCAAAACCAGAATTCCTTTCATTTCAACATGCACGTGCTGAATTGAGTCACACACTTCGTAAAAGTGTACACTTTGAGTACAGGTGAACTCTGTTGACTTACTGCTCGCCACCTGAGGACTTGGCATATTTTCTCATGTAATACTCCCCTAGAGCTTCCTCACGTGAATCCCTAAAGAGAAAAACGGGTATTTAACATGACTTCCATAGTTCAGATTCAGTCATGTGAAAGTGTGAGCAGTGTAGCTGTCTCACCTCCAGTACTGAAATAAATGAACTTTTCCACGACATTCTAATTTATTGAGATGCACCTGTATAATAACTTAAGATATTTTTTTAAATGTAACAAACAAAACATTCACAATTCATTTAAAATAATAACAATATCTTACCTTTTTCTAAGATGTCTTCAGCACCATCCTCCCATGGATCTTCATCTTCATACTCATCGTCAACATCTAGTCAAAGATAGAATAAAATACACATTATAGCTTTTCAAATGACATCTATGCAAAATATGTTGCTTAATCTAAGAAATATGTTGGTAAGGGATTTTCTAACCGGCTTCATCCAAGATGAAGCCACCATGCCGAGGTTTTTTCCTGGGCCGGTCATCATCCTCTTCTTCCTCTTCATCATACTCCTCCTCATCCTCCAAATCTTCTCCCTCCTCCTCCTCAGCCTTGTCACTGCCAGCTACACTCCCCTGTTCCTCCTCCTCCTCCTCAAAGATATGTGTTGAGTGAGTTTTTTTTTAATGAACCATTTCAGATAAACAAAATATAGCATGGTTTTAGCTACCATAAAAAGCTATTTATCGACTATTTACTGACACGTTCGGGGAGGAGCTGGTTGTCTTACCTCATTCTCCTCCACCTCCTCAGCCTCGCTGCTCCTCTCGCTCTGATTATCAGAGAAATCGCTGTCATCGCTGTCAGACATCTCTTTGTTTTCTTCTGTGTTATCCAGACGGCAACACTACTGTACAAACCACATCAAATACATGTAAAAAGCAAAGAATAGTAAACAATTACAAACAGATGCAAGATTCGTCCATGAACATAGCAGTTTACATGTTATTAGACTAAAACCAGCCATTTGACCAGGCAGAAAAAAAGAGACACGGCGAATGATGCGAGTCATAACGCAATTCGATTAAACAGTAACGTACACTGTATTTCTTTACTTGGGTATGCATAACACAATTTACGAGCTTAAAACTACAGGTAAACAACAACAGTCAATCTAGTTTGTTCCTGTTGCCTTTAGGGTGATGTGCTCTGGCTAATGCTGCTAAATCCAGTCGACAAGGAATTAGCACACGAGCTAGCTAGCACACATCTTATTTCACAAATAACTCGTGGCTTAATTACCACGGTCACATCTTAGTTTACTACGAAAATACCATACCGTTAAGTATGTCTTAAATTTACCATTAAAGAGCGGATAAAAAAAGTCTTCTTACCTTTAAACAGCTGTCTGGTTTTACTTTAATCAGGCAGCAAAGGCTACAATCTCATTTCCTTCCACCCCCACATGAGCAGGAACCCAAAGGAAGGAAACACCCAGCCCTTTATCATACAGTATTAAAAGTAAGTAGAATATCTGGTATATGATATCTTGTCTACATGATGTTTTCCCAGATTGAATACTAGATAGAGCAGATAAGCTGTCAGAAGCTATGATTACATTTTGGTTCTGTTTATTTCCTTCCAACCACTGTAATGCCAATAAAATTGCTAAAAGCTCTACTGTGTACACCGATAAATGATCTGCTGTTCTTTTTTTAACTGCTATTTCATAATGCGAAATGGAGAAAGCAGCCCCAGTACGGCCTGTCTCTGGCTGCTTTGATCCATCTGTAAATATGAATAGTTTGTCTTGATAAAGGTTCATATAGTCCTGAACTATTACCCTCTGTGGCATTATTCTAGATTTTTCTTTTAACATTTATTGAAGGCATATATCTACAGATGGCTTTATGAATTTCCAAGGTGGTACAGTTGATAGTGCCACAATGGGGCTTACTTGGAGCTGGCTGAGGCTTGCGTTTTGTGCTTTTGCATTTCCTATCCATCCGAAACTGTAATAATTACTTTTACTATTGAACAATCTTGTAAGATGGCCTTTGTGGGATGTACTCCGCTATGCCCTTGTAGATTTATCCAATACGCCAGCATGATCTTGATCCTCCTAATACATGAAGGCATCTCTCCTGTCTCAACTTGGTGATGATTTAAACGCTCTAGTACAAATCCGAAGTGCCTGTGCCTGTTCCACATCAAGTTTTTTAAGGTTTGATTCTGATGCTGACATATATGCTAGGCAACCATAATCTAACGCTGCTCTTAAAAGAGCCTGATAGATGTTAATGAGCGATGACCTGCTTGCTCCCCAGTCTTGTCCTGATAGACATCTTAAAACATTATTTACCTTTTTACATTTATTCCTAACCTTATCAATATGTTGACACCAGGTCAACTTCTCATAAAAAAACACTCCCAAGAATCTTACAACCTTAACCTGTTGAAGATCTTGCCCATATAGTTTAAGTAATACTGTTTAGAAAAGCATATAACTTGTGATTTTGAGATTGAAAGTTTAAATCCCCATTTATTTGTCCACTGTTCTTACATTCCTTATTGCATTTTGCATTTTCCTTCTTAAATATTCAATATTCCGACCTCTAACCCAGAGTGCCCCATCGTCTGCATAAAGTGACTTGCCTATGTTTCCTTCAACCTGATCAAATATGTCATTATTCATAATATTAAATAATATTGGACACCATACACTGCCTTGTGGGATACCATTTTCCACTCCACCATCTATTTGAATATTCTGTGCCTATCTGCATAAAGTGACTTGCCTATGTTTCCTTCAACCTGATCAAATATATCATTAATCATAATATTAAATAATATTGGACTACATACACTGCCTTGTGGGATACCATTTTCCACTGTATATCTATTTGAATATTCTGTGCCTACTTTAACTTCTATTGTTCTTCTATTCAGGAAATCTAATACCCAATTATACATCTTGCCACTTATTCCTAATTTATTAAGTTTAATAAGAAGTCCGTCCTTCCACAGCATATCGTATGCCTTTTCAATATCAATAAATACAGCAATTACATTTTCTTTATTACTTTGAGCTTTCCTAATTACTGACTCTAGGCATAGTACCGAGTCCATTGTCCCCCTTCCCTTACGAAACCCAGATTGATGTGGTGATATAAGACCATTTTTTTCAATATAATAATCTAATCTATTTGTTACCATCCTTTCCATGGTTTTCCCTAATTGTGACATTAATGCTATTGGTCTTTGAATCTGACGGGTCTTTGCCAGGTTTAAGTATTGGGATTATAACTGCTTGTTTCCATATTAATGGGAGTTTACCTGCATTCCATATCATATTAAACAGTCTTAATATTATTTCAAGTGTGACATCTTTCATATGGCCTAACATGCAATAGCATATACCGTCTTTCCCTGGTGTCGCGTGTTGGATATAGCTCTTTCCAAGGCAGCAAAGGCCAATGTTGTTTTCTTTCCTTAAACTTCCATAAGCAATAAGCAATAAGCAGAGCGAGAGCTGCAGAGCGCCATTTAGCGCTTTGGAGGACAACCGTGTTGTTTCATGCAATGTATGGTCCAAGTATTTAATAGTTGCTGATTAACTATTAGTATGTTTTTATCTCAAGGGTTTTCCTCTTGTTAATCTATTTTATAGCAAACAGCAATGGCTACAAAAATAAACTCTCACGTGCATATCAGCGCTATCTGTGACGCACTCTCTCTCTGACAAACTACAGGAAATACTTTTGCTTATTGTTAAATCTCTTAAACTCATTGATAACAATACTCATTGATAACAATAAGAATAACAAGTTTCTTCAGGCTTATGATAAAATTTTTCTTTCTAAATGAGGTGGTATTGTTTTTTCAATGCAGTGCTGTTTCTTCTTGTTCTTTGTTTTGTTTTGTTTTTTGCAATAAAAAAACTACCGGAAATACGGAAGATTTTTACTTCCCCATACAATTCACTGTGATACAACATATTTTGTTAATAGCCTAATTAAACATTTTAATTACCAAAAATGAAAGAAATAATATATGTGTAGCACATTAACATAAATCTGTTACAATCTGCGATCTTGTAATTTATGGTAGCCTACATTCTGACTAATTGTGATGTTAATGTTTATTGCTATAAAACTGCAAAATCATAAAAAAAAAAAAAAAACTTAAAGCTGCAGTCCGTAACTTTTTTTTTTGGTTAAAGATGATCCGAAATCAATATTTCAGCAAGTACTTAACCAGCCAGTGTTCAAAACTATCGCCTTACTTTAGCCTGTTTCACTTATAATAATGTTTTCTGGTTTTCGCGGGAAATTCGAGCATGCTGCCGCGTCATTACGTCACATCTGTAATAGAGTGTTGGGTCGTTCTTGAACGATTCGTTCATTTTGAACGAATCTTTAATGTGACTCGGGAAGAACGAGTCGTCTCGGGGAGTGATTCGTTCAGTCGCGCATGCGCAACATCCTATAGGTTCTGTACTGGAATTAGTCAAGTAGTTCACCTGTTTCGAGTCTTCGGGTTTTTCCGAGTCATTCGTTCATCACGTGACAGCCCCATAAGTTTAACCAATGCAGTCTGAGCCGGAAAGAGAATTGATTAGTTCATCTCTCGAGTCTTCGGGTTTGAGTCGTTCATTCATCACGTGACAGCCCCATAAGCCCA